CTACGATAAAGTAAGTGAAGAGGAAAGGATCTCTTGAAAGTTGCTAGGTGGCGCCCTTGAGCCGTTTATTGTGCGATTTTTCCGGGGACCTTAAAATACGTAAATTTTACACGGGCTCTATGCCCCCGCCAAGTTTGGTGAGTTTTTGAATATGATAAAGCCCCCAAAAAGGCAATTCATTTGGCACAAGAACTATAATAAACAGTACAAAAACAATAGGCCTTCGCAGCGCTTAGCTGCTCGGGCCTAATAAAAAATAATATTGAGTTGTGCTTCACAATACAGTAACTGAAAGGGCAAGATTTTTAAAGATTAGGAAGTGGAATGCTGAGCTCAGCTGCGCTCACTCAGACAAAACTCTAAATGAAAAAAAAAAAAAACAGAAAGAGACAAACCACTGCAGTAAAGTCATGGATAAGTTTTGACATTTGGTAATGTCAGCAAAGGATTTCTTCTGACTGATTAATAAAGTGAGGATCTTAAGAACAATTTGATCTTTCCCCCATCCATATCATCTTCACCCACTTTTTTCTTTCAGGTTCACAGGGTGGATCACCGGTCACTGGTGCCCATATCCAGCTGTGCCAGGGGTGATCCATCAAAGAGACACAAAGAAACAAACGAGACAACCATTTACTGTCTTACTCAGACCTATTGCGACAAGTTAGAGTTACCACTTAGCCTATATCATGTGAGGAAACCTGACCCAGAGAAAACCCACACATTTATGGAAAGAACAAGGTCCCTGGCCGGGATTCAATCCCATAACCTTCTTAAGAGGCAACAGCTCTACCAACTTAATCACAGTGCTAATTTGAGGTTTCAAAAATACAGTTCCCCTGTGATTTGTGTGTGAAATACATCAAATCAAACCAATCAGTTTTGCACTTTGAATTCATAACTGGACATTTGAATTGTGCAACAGAAAACACGTTTTTTTGGCATTTTTTATTTAAGATGAAACTCTTTTTCTTGCATTAACTTGTTCATTCCTTGTTCAGTTGTTACCTCTAAATATGCACTTTGCTGTCTAAAAGCTTTCACTTTGCTCAACTGCCTCCTCGCGCGCTTCAAAGGGCTGAATCATCCTTTCAGGGGGGAGCTCACCGTCAACCTGCTCGTCCTTTTACGCAGAAGCGAACCTCCTCCTCGTTCAGGGGTGAGAGGCTCCTCAGGAGCACCTCGGCGCTGTTCACGTGCGTCCTTTAACATCCCCGCGCGTCCTCCAGCTGGAGACAGTCAGAGCGCGCGGCACACCGCGAGCGCATCGGAGCTCTGTCCACGTTTTTTTTCCCCCACCTCCGTTTTCTCTCTGTTCCAGTACGCAACTCATTATGGGATTCTTGAGAGGAACATTTAAAGTGTCCAGAGTTTTTTTTTCTTTTTCTTTTTCGAATCAACTGAAACTAACTTGGTGGACATTTAAAGATGAAGACAAACCTGCAGTAATGAGACACTTTCACGCATAAAGAAGTGGCGCATTTCGTGGAAAAAAAATACAGGTAAGACCATTTGAAAGTGCTCTACCTAGGCTTGCATGTACAAACTGGAAGCGGTATTAATATAATTAATTCTCAATGATAAAAATATGTATTTAATGGTTGGATTTTATTTTATTTTTTATTTTATTGAAGGGGGGTGGGTGAATTACATTTCAAAGTGCACAATCCAAACAGAAATCTGGGCTGATCTGATGTGTGCAGAGTTTCTCAACACAGTTAATGACTGACATGACCTCGGCAGTTTTACTTTGCTCTCAGGGAGGCTGCAAATGACCTGAGAACACAATGTCTTCAGCTGAATGTCCAGACTTCACCGGTGACGCAAATATTGGAGCAAATATCTTTATTCATTTAGTAAGAGGGAGAACAAGTATCTCCAAAGCAACTTTTTCATATGTAACAGTAATGACCAGTATATTATTTATGCGTAATGAATTTTTTGTTTTCGCTTGAAGCTGATGAGATTCATGTTTTTCATTTCTATAGCCCTTTGTACATTATTTTAGTGTCATCTGTTCTGTGCAAACGAAATATGTTTATTAAATGGTCCAGTGTCTGATTGGACAGATCCAAAAAGGGTTATTTTCTGGTTGTCAGAAAAGAACCTTTATGTGTCACTGAGTTCAAACATTCCTTTCAGCAACATTTATTCACCGAGCACTCCCCACAGCCCAAACTATCCTGTTGCTGCAGAAAAAAAAAGACAAACGGGCATAATAAAACCACTTATGTTATTGGCTCTGGACAAAGTTGTCAGATCGTGTTCGCCTCCTGTGTGCCGGCAGTGAATCTGACAGCAGCCAGGCTACTGGCACTGCTGTGATTCTCCCTCATTCAGTTTGGCTGGGGGTTCATTTACATCCATGCCAAGTCCTAATTTAAAAAAAAAAATCAAAGGTCAGAAAAAAATTCAACACAGCTGTCAGCGTGTGAAATGGGGCATTTCCTCCTGGAGAACTTGTGGTTTTTCTGTGGGATTATTTCCCCTAGTGGCAGTGGGGCTGGCACACAAAGAGGTCTGGATCCAGCTGAGCTCCTCTTTAAATGTGCCGTCAGTCAGATCCGGTGATCAAGATGTAAAATCAATAAATTCCCCTCAGAAATGGCTGTGCTTATGCGTGACTGAAAAAAAAAAGAAGTATTCCATCTCAAAGTGCTGAGCATGCAGTATTGTATGGTGTGTGTTCTCACACACGCATAGTGTTATTGCAAAATGCCACGTCACAGTCAGTCAGGTGGACTGGGTCAAATCAAAAAAGAAAGATTATGTTAATATTTGATGGAAAATATCTGTCTTTTCTTTAATTTGCTGGGATAAAATCAACACTTAAATCTATTTTCATGCTTTTTTCCTTTTGTGCAGATAGGATGTCATAATCAACGTCAGACTGGCGGAGACTGCAGCATCATGGACCCCTGGAGTTTCCCATCCCCCCCTCCGAACTTATCAGAGCACTACATGTACGACAGCTTCATGCAGGGAAACGAGTCCGGCGTCGGCGGGAACCACACGGACAGCTTCACCAGAACCAGCACGGTGGTCATCACCTGCATGTACTTCCTGGTTTGTGCGGTGGGCCTTTGCGGAAACGCGCTCGTCATCTACGTCGTCCTGCGCTACGCCAAGATGAAGACGGTCACCAACATCTACATCCTCAATCTGGCGGTGGCAGACGTGCTCTTTATGCTCGGCCTGCCATTCATCGCCATCCAGCTGGCGCTGGTCCACTGGCCCTTTGGCCTCGTGCTCTGCAGGGTCGTGATGACTGTGGACTCCCTGAACCAGTTCACCTCCATCTTCTGCCTGATGGTGATGAGCATTGACCGCTACCTGGCGGTGGTGCATCCCATTAAATCCACAAAGTGGCGAAAGCCTCGCATCGCCAAGACTATTAATGTGGCGGTGTGGGGGGTGTCGCTGCTGGTTAACCTGCCCATTGTGATCTACAGCGGGGTGATCACGAAGCCCAACGGCTGCTTCTGCACCATCGTGTGGCCCGAGCCTCAAGAAGCTTACTACACAGCGTTTATGTTCTACACCTTCATCCTGGGCTTCTTCCTGCCCCTCATGGTCATCTGCCTGTGTTACCTGTTCATCATTATCAAAGTGAAATCCTCGGGCTTACGCGTGGGCTCCTCCAAGAGGAAACGCTCCGAAAGGAAGGTAACCAGGATGGTGTCCATCGTGGTGGCGGTGTTCGTTTTCTGCTGGCTGCCTTTCTACGTTTTCAACGTGACCTCCGTGACGGGCACCATCAGCACGACGCCCATTCTGAGGAGCACCTTTGCCTTCGTGGTGGTCCTCGGGTACGCCAACAGCTGCGCGAACCCCATCCTTTACGCCTTCCTCTCGGAGAACTTCAAGAAGAGTTTCCAGAACGTTCTGTGCCTTAAGAAGGAGGTAGGGCTGGATGAGGTGGAGCGCAGCGACAGCCGGCAGGACAAATCTCGCATGATGAACGACCCCACGGAGACCCAGAGTACTTTGCTGAACGGCGACCTGCAGACCAGCATCTAAGATCTCACAAACACACAAGAAGAAGGTCAAAGAAGTTCCTCTTTAATCAGTTTGCTAAGGACCCCATGTTCCTTTTGTCAGGTTCCTCAGTTCCTCACGTATCTGTAATAAAAAAAAAACATGGTTCATACAATTTTCTTCAGCTTGGTGCAAATGAAATGTGGTTGACACCTCTCAGTACTCTGTGTAATAGACCTGAGGACAGATAACAAACACCAACACCCACTTGCAAAGGGTCCCCAAGGAAACATGGATTTTTTTTTCCTGGAGACACCGGATTATATATGTTGTTTACAGCTGAGGGCCTGGGCCAAGTTTCCATATGTTTGTTCTGCTGAGTTTGAAAATCACAGCAAAACAGAATGTGCTTACATCATGTACATAACCCACTGTTGCAGAAAGGGGCTTTATCTACAAATAACTGCACAATAAAACAGCCAAAATCATGTTTGAAGTCAGACCTTTTGCCATTTTCACTAAATCAGGATTAAAACCACCAGAATGAGAGTCAGAGCTGTGGTGTCACAACCTAAATGTGTTCAGCAAATGACTACTTCAGGTTCGTGTCACAGTTTTCCTCACTGCGCTCTAGTTTCATGCATAATTCAAGTTGCAGTTCGATAACGACACAGGTGGTTCCAAATGAAGTGATGTACTAAAGACGTATAAAAAGTGACAAAAAATGTCCAGTTTTTAGTACCTTCGGTTCCTGTGGGGCAATGTTTTGTGTCACTGTACAGTTTGCAGATGTTAGTTACCTCATTTTCATGAAAAGTAGGATTATGTGACTCTAAATTATTTAATATGAATCCCAAGATGTGGCTTCATGTTTTTTGTGTGTGTGTTTATCCCAGCGCATGAAACCTAATCCGATAATGTTTCAGGAGTGACGGTGCTCATCGTGGTCTACGCAACTGCCAAAAGATGAATTGTGTATGAGAGGCCATCACTGATTTTTCGTGTATTTAAGACAATATGTTGCTAAAAAAGAAAGAAAAATAAGATGAAGCCCCAAAGATGTGAAATGCTGAAATGCTGTCTTCTTTTATTAACCTGTTTTTTTTCCCTCTCCTGCTGCCTCAAGTTGCAATTTTCTCACAACCTGCAGCATTTCGGAGGCGACAGTCCGAGTTGAAGTTTTCTTAGACGCCAAGTGGCTGAGTGATGTGAATTTGCGAAGGGCTAGAACGCTCATCCTCAAGAGAGGCTGCGGTGTTCCTTTATCACCGTCACGGCGCTGCTCCGCAGTGGAGTCCACACTTCGCCCTGACAACATGCGTGTCTCCCTGTCTGCTGCCAGAGTCAGATTACTATCTGAGTGATTTATTTACATTACATGTGGAGGCTTCCTCGCCATCCATCAAAGCAAGAGAACGGTTCGCATGAATTCACGAAGGATTGTCGCTGTGTGCGCGTTGTGTTGGTGCACTTTTCCCAGCTGATACAAAACACAATAGACAGATGCTGTCTGGAAACTGTTCATATGATACCTATCCACTCAGCCCACATCTGTATAATCAGATTACATTTTCTATCTTTGTATTGATGAATTGGGTCGCTTTTGTTAATGTTGATAGATACGGCTCATCTGTTGTGTCCTACATTTCTATGGCAACAGTGACCAGTGTGTGTTATTTGTACAGAAACGGTCCTTGCGATAAGAGACAACTTCAGGCACTAATTATGCATGCAGACATTTCACAGATGCCTGAAGAAAAGAAAAGAGAAAAAGATAAACATAGCACTACACTAGGACCATGCAGTAGAAGCAAACATTTGAAAAGCTGTTTTGTGTATTCTAGTGTGGTCCATAATGTAAGCCAGTGTATACCAGACACCAAGCATTATTGTAGCAAAAATCACAATATTATAATTCATAAGGTCTACTTTTAGCAACACTTGCTGTTTTTCACCTTGGTGCATTGTGTAGCCAATTTTCTTCTTGCCATTTGTTTAATCTGTTTTAGCTCAGTGCGGTTTCCATTAAGTTGAACTGTTTCTGTACAAAGTTTGTATCATTGTATTTGTCCCCTGGCTGTACCTCTTTATGCTTAGTTTACAGCAGAATAAAGGAGCGTCTGTGCACATTTGTGTTGTAATAAATAACGTTTTCATTTTTTTTTCTTTGTGAAACATTTCCTCTTAAAATGAATTAAATATTCCAATTAGGAGCCAATTCAAATACTGCAAAAACAAACTTTTAATTAACAGTGAGAACTTTACATCAATTTAAAGTTTGAATTTCCACATCTCCATCAAAATAATTAAATGTGTAAAAATCACAATTAAAATACAAGATGGAGTCCCATCAGATATTTTCTGGTAATATAGTGCCTTTTTTATTTTAGAAATACGCAGCATTTCAGAAGAGTGTGGGGAAAAATGAATGTAAAGCTGTTTCATATAAAGAATAGCATTTTTAAGTTTATTTTTTCACTCTGGAATGTTTTATGCCTCAACAGGAGTTTTTAACTAGTATTTTTTTTTGTCTGTGTTGTGCTTCTAAAAGTGGCCACAAAGTGGCGCCATCATCATGTGTATAAGGTGCTCAAAGCTCACACACACAATCTTTTACATCTATACAACTGAATGTCTTTTTATTCAGTCCACGAAGTCTTGACAGTTTTATTTCATATATATATTTCCTTTTCTTGCCCTACCATGAGAATACCTCGGCAGTAATGCAGGAGATATATATCTGACATGTTTATTAAAAAAATAATAAACTGACAGGTTTGGCTCAGATGCACTACAGCGCTTCACCTCTCGGTCTAGTCTTAGCGCAGAGGAAAGATGAGAAAAAAAAAAAAAAAAACAGCACACCACATAGACATTCCAGTTTCGGTGAGAGTTTAATAACTGAAACAGATAATGAACCTCTCCTCTTCCTTTTTATTTAATTTTATTTTTTTTAACTGTTTCCCTGAATGTCCTTGGATGGTCTTAACTGCACCGTGATGCAACAGAACCATAATGTGAACCATCAGACAAGTGCTTCGACTCCACCAAAAACTGCAGCAGACCAAAAGATATGCATGTTTCATTGTGATTTCAGCAGCAAAACAAAAATGTGTTCACCCCCCACCAAACTGGCATCACTGCATGACAGATTAGGGCGTCACTTTTTATTTGTTTCTTTTCATGAGGGAATATTGTCCTCTCTGTACTCCCCATATAATTACAGTCAGTGACCCTGATGTGTATGTGCATAATCTATAGTGTGACTTGACAGCGTACTTACTGGAACAAGTTTAGCGCACTGCAGAGGCAAAACAAATCACGAACCACACTTATAGAGACGTTTAACACTGATGGATTCAGAGCCAGGCTGTGGTCAAATAGTCTCCCATGTGCAATGAGTTTTACCCTCTATACAATCTCATCCACTCTTTCATTTCAACTACAGAACAAAAAATCACGACTGGGAGCAAAACCTTGAACCGCAATTTTTTTTTTCCACGTACTCTGGTGTGAGATCAGTTGCATGCAGTGCTGTTAAATTATTTTTCTTTTCTGTTACACAGAAGGCTCAAGGTGTTCCTTCAAACCCTCACATAAAAAAGGACCAGATCTGGTGTTCACGAATGAGTTTTTTTTTTCTTTTGAGAATGCCACATGTAACCCAAAGCTCATATTCAGCAAATGATTTCCAAACATTAAAAGTGAGCCGATGAATCACCGCCATTATACCAACGATTCCACAAGAATGAAAGTATAATATGGCTAAAAACAAACAAACATACAGTGAAAACAGTAAATAAAAAGTAAAAAAAAAAAAGTTGCTAAAAAAATAGATATTCCCTGCCCTCAACCAGACTTTAAAAAAAAGAAAATAATCAACACAGTAAATAAATGAACATGAGAACGCTCAGGTCCAAATCTGTTTAGTTTCCATGGCAGCGCTTCAGCAGCAGCGTCGCTGAGCTCTCCCGTGTTTTCATTGCTCTTTAAAAATAGATGTTTACTAGATTCATACAGTATTTCATAGCTAATTTCACAAATGATACGTATCATAACCATACCTTTAAAATGTCCTTGCAACGTTCATAATACATTGATTTATATAGAATTTTTTTCCGCTTTTTTAACTTTTTTTTTTATTTTTTTTGCAATCGGTCCTTTATGCATATGATGACGAACTGTTCTCCATCACCAGTGAGTTAAATGCTTGGTCAGATGAAATGCGAGCACCATGGCAGAGAGCTGTTAAGGTGTTTTGGGGTGGGGGTTAGAATACTGTAAGAAAAATCCAGATGTGTCTGAACGGTGCCACTGCAGCAGAAACAGGAAGTGACAGAAGTTGAAGGGTAAGTAAGTGTGTGTGTGTGTGTGTGTGTGTGTGTGTGTGTGTGTGTGTGTGTGTGTAGGGGGGACTTTTCCCTCTGCCCAAGACTAAGGTGACGATGCCCGACTCCTCCACCAGCTCTCCTCTTAGTTCGGTTTTGTCAAGTTGATGCCAAGAAGTAGCTCAGTGCTTTTGTTTTTTTTTTTGTTTGTTTGTTTGTTTGTTTGTCATTTTCTTTTGCATGATTTTGCATGTCTGTTTGTCCTGCTTAGCTGGAGGAGCAGACTGCTAGTCAAAAAAAAAATTTCAGGTAGGTTTGTGTGCTTGCACTTCATCCTGTCCCCCAGTCTTTTGACTCCCTCCTCTGAAGAAGTGGCTCTTCATGCTCGGTGGTCACAGAAACTACTCATACTCTAGGAACTGTTTATGATAGAATAAGAGATACCTAACAGAGAGAGAGAAAAAAAAACAATCAGATCAAATTCCATACCAATATTTCCTTGATCTGTTAAGGTTTTGGATTCATTCTCACCCTTCGCTATCAAGTACATCCTTAATGCTGGCCTTGGTGATGATGGCGTCATCACATTTGAACCACTGGTCTTTGTGTTGACGGATGAAGCTGGTGTAGTGGCCGCTCTCTAACGTGCCCTGGTGGTTGACAACAGCAAACAAAGAATACCTGAAAAAAAAAATCAAAGAAAGAAATTAAGAAAAATAACGACCTCATGGTTCCACCTCACTCAAAGACTGCTCAAATTAAAAGGATCCCCGATTAGTTGTAACATTAGACTTTATTAGATAAATATATTTTAACTGTAAAATAAAGACTGTAAAAATACTGTAGTTTTGTAACTTTTTAAAAATGAATTTTAACACGGATGGAGCCATTTTATTTACACATAAAAGCATTTTGGGTAAACGATGACATGGATAGGTCCTCGGTGCGAGCGAGCTATATCCACCCTGAAGGTTAATCTTGGACAATATCTGATGATCGACTCTTTTAAATGAAACCAGAGAGCGTTGACAGAGAGGAGAAGATAGAAATGACTCAGCCTGCAACTGAAAATATGGATGGAGGACAACAGAGCTGCTTCATGGAAGAACCTCAGCTTAACCTGCTAGCCTTTGCGTTAGCGCCGATGCTATATTGCCTTATATGTATTAGCTTGGTGCTAGCGCGACAAACTAACAAGCTAAACTGAGGTCCTCCATCCATATTTTCAGTTGCAGGCTGAGTCATTTTTGTGTTCCCCTCTCTGTCATGTGGATGGAGGACCTCAGTGACGAGAGGAGAATGTGTAGCGCTGAGCTAATACATATATATGGTGATAGCATCGGGGCTAACGCTAAAGCTAACAGGCTAAGCTGAGGTTCTCCTTCCATGAAGCATCTCTGTTGTCCTCCATCCATATTTTCAGCTACAGGCTGAGTCATTTCTACCTTCTCCTCTCTGTCTTTAAAAGAGTCGATCATCAGATACTGTCCAAGATTAACCTTCAGGGTGGATATAGCTCGCTAGCAGCCTCACGCCGATGACCTATCTACGTCATCATTTACCCAGAATGCTTTGTGTGTAAATAAAATGGCCCCGTCCGTGTGAAAATATTTTTAAACTTTAAGTTTAAAAATTATGAAAACTAAACAGCCTAGAGTATTTTTACAGTCTTTATTTTACAGTATAAAGTCTAATGTTACAACTAATCGGTGATCTGTTGTAACCTAGTGTAACCTAGTGGATTAGTTGTAACACTACAACTAATCATGGATTAAAATAAAACAAACACAGCTTCCTCATCTCAAATCATCTTCATCACAAGAAACTGTTTCATTAAGATAGTAGATTCCTAGTAAATGTCCTGGAAAGTGAGAACTATTGCAACAACCTTAAATGAGGAAACTAAGCAGCTTTTAATAGGCTTCAAATTGATTTAATTAGAAGACAGTCACAGCCGGATTAATGAGGTCTTTAGCACATGCTGCTGTTAAAAAGCTGAGATTATTTTTAGGGCTTCCAAATTGTGTTAACACAACCAGTTGCACAAGTACTCACTTATTGTCATTGTTTAATACTTCAACTGACTGTTGATACTGCCCATTCATTCTGCTCTCTTTACTGTAAAGGAAGAAGGAAAAAGAAAACCAATGCGTTAGAGGTCCTATTATGCTCCGAGCAAAACATTTAACTGAGAGATACAGAGCCACTAGGTGGCAGAAGAATACAATTTATGCACGGTTTTTCAGGCCTGCAGAAATAATGATCCTTCTGGATGCAAAAAGCTGCTGCTGCATGCTCATCTGATACCAATAAGATTTCATAGGGAAAATTTAATAAAGCATTTTTGTCAAAGATGCATTTTCAAGCTTATAGTACACTTGTGGACAAAATGAAAGTGAATCCATTTTGCTGCTGCTGGATGGGGAGAAAAGACGGCTCTGTGATAGAAGCAAAGCATTTCTTAAGTCCTCTGGAGTCTCACCTGGACGCCATGAAGGGTGTCATGTCCAACTCTAGAGGAAAGGAAACGTACGTCGTAATCTTCCTCCGCAGTTTAGCAGAGTGCTCAAACCGCTAGGGAAAATAAAAAAAAGAGGAAAGAGGCAGGAAAGTGTCAAGAAAAAATGGTTTTATTATAAAACACAAAAATAAATAAATAAATAAATAAATAAATAAATAAATAAATAAATAAATAAATAATAAAAGAGGATTTGAATGTTTATGTTCCATATATAATTACAGCCCTAAATTTATTTAAGACAATTAATTAAAATCTGTTCCAAAGACAATCATTACTGCATCATGCGGATGATAAATAAAACATGGACAGCTGAGGGTTGAGTGAGTCATTAGAACTACGGGTGTCCTGGGACAATACATGAAAGCACTAAACTGCAGGAGGCGAGGCAACAACATCAACAACAACAACTGCACTGAATTATGAACACACTTACACTAAGAGTCACGGCAAAATCTTAAAACTGAACAAGAAAAATGAACACAACAATATTTAAACCACGCTAAACTATCTTAATCATAAGTCTCCATTGTTTTTGGAGCGATGGCAAAGAACGTGACTTACTTTGAGATGGAAACACGCTACGATGGGGAGCTTCTTCATTGTCAGCTGTTTGGTGGACTCCTGGTAACTATGGCAACCACCACACTTAATTTTGGCACTGCTTCCGAGATGCTCAGGACGTGTAAATCTGTAGAGCAAAAAGATAAAATAAACGTGTTTAAAAAGAGAAGGATGGATGTTTTTCTTTTTAACCTGTCTATCTATCTTATCTCCTTTTGTTTTAAATAATGTGAAAAAAAAAAACATTTTCAGCCTTTACAATTAGACAGCATTCAGATTGCATCAGAGTTCTCTAAAACCAGAAATCCTGCTGGTCTCGCTAATGCCTCCATTGCCATGGCAACAGCAACAGCCTGCTCTGTACCTTTAAGAGACTTGCTGCAGCAAGTAGGGGTGTGTGAGGTGCTGCGGTAAAAAAAATGTCAGCAGGAACGGAGGTGAGAAAACGAGGGGGGGGCGAGACAAATGTGAGAGGTAGAGACTGAGGGCATGGGTGGGGGGGGGGGGTAGTGATGGAGGGAATGAAACAAGCTGAGGAAAAGTGAAAACCAAATTGCAAGAATGGAGATTTGAGAGGTCACACCTGCTCCGTCAACCTAGTGAAGGGAGAAGATGAGATCCAAACAGGGTTGTTGTGAGTGAGCAGGCAACATGTGACGCTTCATACAAATGAAATGTGTTTGTCTACTATAGAAAGAAAAAAGGGATGTGTGGGGTGTGGTAATACTTTTAAAATGTGATGAAAATCATTTATTTCTGCCCAACAGAGCATAAACATGATTAGTGCTCCTGTCCATCAGAGGAACAAAAAACCATAACAGCACAATAAAACGGTCTTACATCTGTCTCGCCTTTGATTTCGTGCCAAAAAATACTTCAAAAGCTAATTGGTTGATAAATTATTTTGACATTTGAGAATAAAATAAAAGGCAAGGGGAAGAAAAAAAAGAGAGAGAGAGAAAAGTGACAACTGCCGTCAAAGAGAGAAGCTGTACCTGCGCAGGCAGTCTGTGAGTGTGGTTGATCCTGACAGGTGGCTCTCGCCATTTACTGTGCTGCCATCCCCTCCGGGGCTCAGGGGCCAGAAAGGCGTAGATGAGCCTGGCAAATCCAGACTGATGTCCCAAAATGGGTCTATCGTTGTGGAAACGCCACTTTAAAGAAAATAAAACAAAAAAAAAAACCAGATAAAGAGAAGAATGTTAGTCCAGGTCCCAGGTTTAATAAATGGAGTATGGGTTAGTCTGTTTGTCACTTATTACAAATGATGAAATGATGATGACAGACATTATAACACATGAGCCTAAACTGACACCGCCTCTGGATTTTGATCACGTTTTTTTGTTTTTGTTTTTTTTTTAATTCTGCTGGGAGATGAAAATTGTGCGTGTGCATTGTATCCACAGTGATGCTGCAGAGTCATCTGTGATTCAATGAAGGGTTACATCAGAGAAAATTGGCTTTGCAAAAAGGAATTTCTATTATTAGAATGCAAAGACAGTGATGGACTGTAGCCCCGGCAAAAAATGGTGGCTTCCCAAGGAGAGTGCACATAAATATGTAGTTGTGTTTACAATGACGAGCTGCTGCACATTACTGTTGTTGACGAGATGACTCATGATTTTGTAAAACCCAGAGGTACTAGTGGGAGGTCAATAAATCAAACCTACAAGCATTTATGGTGATGAGATGCCACCCTTCAGTAGCATGGCCCCATTAGGTTAGCTCCTTTGTTCCATCGCCTGATATATTCTGGTGTTTAATTGTTTGGCCACTTGTAATTTGTTAACGGGGCTCTTCAGAGAAATGAAGAGGCACAGAACCGAGCTGAAAGTTCTGCATCGACACTCTCCTTTCGCTGCAGATGTAGATATTATCACAATAAGCTGGACCCAGTTTCCCTGCGAGACTGGGCAAGGTGCTTTGCAGTTCAGTGCAGCATGCATGTATTAATGCGACAGGACAGCTCTAGGGGGGCGGCGAGGCAACGCCTATATCGTGCTGCTGTCTAGACAACCTCTATTAAAGTAGCTCTGCAGGGACCGGGTCTAGAAGAAGAACAGCAGGGAGGACACAAGCTGCCCATCTTCTTGCACATATTGAGAAAAAAAAACAGAGTCTAAAAGGACCTCCACAGTGGTGAGAGAACATCAGGGAACAATTCACAGAAGAGTAAATATCAGAACAGAGAAAGCAAAGGGAGTCATGTGTTGCTTTGTTAGACTGATTGAACACGTCTTGCAAACTTACTGGCAAACTTGACAGGTAACATCTGACTGTAGGCCCCCAGTGAAGATTTGGTCTATGATGCAATTACAGTGATTTGGATTGTTGGTCTTTTTCCCATTGTCGTCTCCTGCAGGTAACAAGAGAACGAACAACGTAAAAAAATTATATAAAAAAAAATCACATCATTTTTCGTTAATTCATTTAAAAGGATAGGGCACACTAACTAATGTTCAAAAATATTAATGTGCCAGAATTAGCACAATGGTTAAAAGTCATCAGTTGTCCAAGCAAAAAAACAAGCAGTTTATAAAACAAGTGCATAAAAAAATACAACAACGGATTAAACAATCCATAAAACAAAACACACAAACATCTCACTCTACAAGGTTACACAATTAAATGAGTCTTAATTTACAAATGAGTACAAAACTGATTCTCTTAAGCCAAACTTTAACTATCACAGTAGGGCTGGGCAATAAATCAGTAACAATGCATATCATGAAAAACACATGATCAATATCAATAGAAAATGATAACATATCGCTACATACATATAAATCCATTATCAATAGAAAATACGTCAGATAGAATGTTGATAATTTCACTGAACTCTGATCCAGAACCACACAACATTTTGGTGTATGTAAGCAGAGAAAATGCTTTAGAAAGGTTAGTGACATTAACTAACTCACTCCCTCTTCATTAAGCTAACAACAACCTGTTGAGTAACATTTGCAGTAGCAGTTTCATGTTTCGCCTCAGTGCCTTGCTTAAAAATAAAGAACGATGTGGAGTAAAATGAGAAAATGAGTTAAACAGCTCGAGATTGAACTGTGGTACCAGTTTTGCAGGATTAATCAGCCTTTTTTTGTCCTGGTCCTTATTTTAAATAGGTAAACCAAAAAAACCTAATCAATAATTATTGATACAGTGGTTTGCAAAAGTATTCATACCCCTTGAACTTTTCCATATTTTGTCACATTACAACCACAAACATAAATATATTTCACTGGAATTTAATGTGAAAGACCAACACAAAGTGGTATACAATTGTGAAGTGGAAGCAAAATTTTACATGAATCAAAACATTTTTTACAAATAAAAAACTGAAAAGTGCGACGTGCAAAAGTATTCAGCCCCCTTTTCCCTGAGTGCAACCAATTGCATTCAGAAGTTGCCTGATGACTGCTAATGACTCAAAAGGGTCCACCTGTGTGTAATCTAATCTCAGTACAAATACAGCTGCTCCGTGACGGCCTCAGATGTTGGTTAAGAGAATATTGGGGAGCAAACAGCATCATGAAGTCCAAAGAACACACCAGACAGGTTAGGAATATGGTTTTGGAGAAGTTTAAAGCAGGCTTAGGTTATAAAAAGATTTCCCAAGCTTTGAACATCTCACAGAGCACTGTTCAATCCATCATCCGGAAATGGAAAGAGTATGGCACCACAGTAAACCTGCCAAGACAAGGCCGTCCACCTAAACTTACAGGCCAAACAAGGAGATCACTGATCAGAGAGGCAGCCAAGAGGCCCATGGTGACTCTGGATGAAATGCAGAGAGCCACAGCTCAGGTGGGGGAAACTGTCCACAGGACAACAATTAGTCGTGCACTACACAAATGTDGTCTTTATGGAAGAGTGGCAAGGAGAAAGCCATTGTTAAAAGAGAACCATAAGAAGTCCCGTTTGCAGTTTGCCAGAAGCCATGTTGAGGACACAGCAAACATGTGGAAGAAGGTGCTTTGGTCAGACGAGACCAAAATTGAACTTTTTGGCCACAATGCAAAACGCTATGTGTGGCGGAGAAAGAACACTGCACATCACTCTGAAAACACCATCCCCACTGTCAAATATGGTGGTGGCAGCATCATGCTCTGGGGGTGCTTCTCTTCAGCAGGGACCGGGAAGTTGGTCAAAGTTGATGGGAAGATGGATGGAGCCAAATACAGGGCAATCTTGGAAGAAAACCTGTTGGAGTCAGCAAAAGATTTGAGACTGGGGCGGAGGTTCACCTTCCAGCAGGACAACGACCCTAAACATAAAGCCAAAGCTACAATGGAGTGGTTTAAAAAAAAGAATATTCATGTGTTAGAATGGCCCAGTCAAAGTCCAGACCTAAACCCAATTGAGAATTTGTGGCAAGATCTCAAAACTGCTGTTCACAAACGCTCTCCATCCAATCTGACTGAGCTTGAGCTGTTTTGCAAGGAGGAATGGGCAAGAATTGCAGTCACTAGATGTGCAAAGCTGGTGGAGACATACCCTAAAAGACTTGCAGCTGTAATTGCAGCAAAAGGTGGCTCCACAAAGTATTGACTCAGGGGGGCTGAATAATTTTGCACATCGCACTTTTCAGTTTTTTATTTGTAAAAAATGTTATGATTCATGTAAAATTTTGCTTCCACTTCACAATTGTATACCACTTTGTGTTGGTCTTTCACATTAAATTCCAGTGAAATATATTTATGTTTGTGGTTGTAATGTGACAAAATATGGAAAAGTTCAAGGGGTATGAATACTTTTGCAAACCACTGTATTGACTGGTATGAAACACTTCTATTGTGATACATTTTTCAGCTAAATCGCCCAGCCCTGTATCACAGTCTCAGATATTCTGATGTGCTCCACTAACCGATGTCCCCTTTCGCCCAAACTCTTCTCTCCATCTTGCTATGACAGAGTCCCCTCTAGTTTGAGATCTGGTATTTATTCTGTTGTTATACCTCTACAGCTGCGTTTCCATTGCAAATGTGTGCAAAACTTTGTTGATATTCTGTTAATGTAAAAAAAAAAAAAACAGTTTTGCAATTGTGGTGTTTCCATTAAGTAAGAAATGCTATTAAAGTCACGCGTGAATACGTTTGTTCTCGCGATAAGTCATTACAAACATGGCGGCGATGGATGTAAACACATAGCATATTGCTACCACGACACTAGCGCTCATCATCAGCCATCAGAGGACATGTCGGCATCTTACTGAGGCTTTCGAGTGACAAGCTCCTCATTCTTGGGAGCGACTACGTATGCTGCGTTTTTGGGAAAATGTAGTCGGTGAGTTTAATACTTTCTTTTACTACTTCAGTGATTTTACTACTACTTCTACTTCCTGTTGTCTTTTTAACCAGTAGAAACAGCTGGTTGTTGATCATGTGACTCCCGTGATGCGAAAAAAGTGTTTCCATTGCAGTTTTGCGAAAAACACCAATTTCGATACGGCCGATACCACCTCTTCCTAGCGCAAAAACATTTAGTCGAAAAACAATTTTTTTTCAAAATTGACGTGTTTCCATTGAACAAATTTATTTTCAAAATTCTAATTTGCTCATTTTCATGGTCAATGGAAACGCAGCTTATATAAAAGAGTAAATCAGCAACAGCAGCAGCCTCTTTTGCACATTTTAAAAGCTGTCTAGCATCTATACTTTCCTATTCACCAACAGACTCTCTGCCTTCTCATAATTGTCCTAGTTCTCTCTGGCCATCCTGAACAAGCCTAAGTGCTGGCTCTGTGTGTGAGTCAACCTATCATCACACTGCAGCAGGGCCTATTGACATTCTTCACACTACTTACTGGCTGTCCCCTTGGTATACACCATTGTTAGTCTCCTTCAGTATGTTTCTCCTGATGTAAGGCAATGTGTTCTTTAGGTAGCTCAACACGCCCAATCAGAGCCCGCGGGTAGCTCACTTTCAACTTACTGCACTGATTTAGTAAAGGCCGACTCTGTCCTTACAACGTTTGCCATTAAAACCCTACACTGAAAGTAAATATAAAAAAAGATAAATTCAGTGCATTTGAAGAGCAACTTTAAATGACATGAATCTTTCATTTGTAGCCATGTGCGAAGCTTACTGATGGTGTCTCCTTTGCAGTGCCGATGTAGCACATCGAGTGCTGCGATAAGGAATTCATGGGCATCTTGCTGCTCGTAGCCTGCGAGGTGACGTGCATGAGTCCACACAAGGTGGAGCAGCCGGAAGGGAATGTGAGGTGAACGGTGGCCCGAGTAGAACTGAGGGCAAAGAGGAAAAAAAATATATGTGAGAGTTGAAGTAAAAGTATTTATATTTGTCCAGGTATTTTTAGTCATGTTATTGTCAATCTCAAAACTTGATTTCATACTGGCGTCCAAAACGAATTGATTAGGAAAAGCAGAAATGCTCTGTTTTGTTTGCTGCGGACACAAGGCTAAATTCTTTGATTTTTTATCCAAGTAGCAATAAGAACGAATGTGTCACAAAAATAATTTGCAACTACAAATTTGTAAAACAGTCTTGACAATGAGATGGATATGAACATGTGACTAAAAATTCAAAAGATTGAAAAATATGACCCATCACATCCAAACGAGGATTAAGTCCAAAAGTGGAATGTGGAGAAATAGGCAAATATTGGGTTTTGATTTAACCATGTGCAAACATTGCATTTTGTCAAAATAAAATGAATCAATGCCTTTTCAATGTATCATTTGAATGAAGTGTCTGAAATATAATCCTAAAGAAAAATTTGAAGCATTTTCTTTTTTAGCAGTAGCAACAAAAAAACTGATTTTGAGGAAAAGCGCCTTAAAATTTTGAATTTTTCCCTGTCAGCTAGCAATTAATTTACATAAAATTAGGATTCAGACCAAACAGTAATGTATTATCGTAACCATCACAACAGATTAAGTCACATCTCTGGATAAGCTTATGATGTCAGAATGATCCAGGTATCAAAATGTAACTTTTAAAGCCAGGAATCTGAAAATGTAATTAAGTAATTTTGACCAAATTTGACTTAATCCTCATTTTGATATGATGGGCCACAAATGTGCTGCAATTTTTATTTCTGTATTTATTTGTGAAACTTCTTGTTCGACTGACTGGATTTTTCCACCTCGAAAGACAAAAAAAATAATAATAATAAAATACAAAAACCGACATGTGCCTCTGTGGGTGAAAGAGGCATGCCATTACCGACCTCATGTGTTATGTAGCTGACAGTTCAGCTGACTGAGAACGGATTTGGTTCTGTAAGTCTGTGCTGTTAAGGGTTAGCGGGGTAGTTGTGACTCAACTCATTATACATTAAAGCATCACTTGCCATCTGTGGGCTTATATACCGTGAAGTGAGAGGATGTATGAAGAAAGCCAGACAGTATAGGAGCTGACCAGACAGCCATTATGTAACACTTTAAGTTCATGAGCTTGTTAGACATAATGTACACTATTTGTTGCGAATGGCTAGGAATGACAACAAACTGCTGTGTATAATTGGGCAGAATTAAGGCGGAATTATAACATTTAGTTCATACACTTCTTTCAGGCAGCAGGTTTCTCCCATTTTGCATTTGACAAAAAAAATAAAAAAAATAAAAAAGCAGAGACTCAGCGTTCTGCTCCGATTGTTTAACTGTGCACCATACCTCCTGAAAGAGCTGCGACATCTCACACACCAGACAGGAGTTTGATTGCATCTCGCACTTGTGTCTGTCAGAGAGAAAAAAGTCTCGCAGCAGCGGTGTGTGTGTTAGCGCCTGAACAATACAGTTCATGAAACATGTGTTGCCCAGGTTTATTAGCCCTCGTAAACCTGCAGGACAGAAAGACAGTGGGAGAAGTGTGAGAACAACATGGCAGCGGCGTGGCACACTGTACTTCCCTCTGCTGGCAACAGGGGATTTTCAATGTCACCAGTGAGGCCTAATCTGTCTCTCGGCACAAAGCTGTGTATTTCCATATTGCCGCTGTCAAGCAAAAGCCTTCCCTCCATTTTTCAGCATTGTTACATTTTTGAATAAATCAAGTTACATTTGCTTATGCTTTTATGGATTACTTCCGAACCAACAAAATGTGTCAAAAAGAGCTTGTAACTCGTGACCACACAGTTTATTTAATTAACAAGAAAGGGGATATTTGTCTCATTTTGTGAAAAGCTGAATTTCTGGCACAAGGTTTCTGCCCAACATCGACTATATGAAATACCAAAACCTGACATTCGGAGACACTACATTTTCTTTGTCCATGCCCTGAGTGGTCAGAGCTAAACTGGTGGCAAAAGGGAGACTAACAATATGAGGTGGGTGTTTATAACATTATACTTTGTTATTGTAAAGATCTGACAGACTATAGTGTTGGCTCAAAGGAAGAATAGAGTTGAGATGAGAAAAAAATGTGTATGGTTTGCAGTTTGGATTATTGGTTAGTGAAAACAATGATGGTGAAATGAACCTTTTAATTATTTTAATCTATAGCATAATAAATTGTGCATAATCAGAAGGTGTCTGAATACTCATTAAATCTATTGGATTCATGACTGGAGAGTCAGCTCAGGTCTGCCAATAAAACTGTGTTTATCCTGGAGAGCCGTGAATGAATTCATTTAAAGTCTTTTACTGATGGCCAGCTGAACAGGTGAAACACAGCCAGGTCTTGGGACTTATCCAATTGAGCAAGGTTTGGGACTGGAAGATTGCACCCGCTGAGTGTAAACGTGTTACACTGCTCCTGGCATGCAAATACACACAATCTATTGTCAAGTCTGGCTGACGAGATAATCCGTCTGAAGATCTAAAGGATGACTGAGAAAGGAGTACAATCAGTCATGCGATAGAACGAGTGGGAGATAAAGGAAAGCAACAGATTATTGAGAAAACGTGACAGAAGGACAACAACTTCTGTGCAGTGAGGAACAACTACGATTGTGTTGTGTTGCGCAGCTATCTCTGAGGGAACATTGCGTTCTGCCTCTCACTATGCACTGCCTGTAGGGCTGCTCTGTGCAGTTGACCTTGGGTATTGCACTTAAATGCACGAGTGACCCCCAAGCACACTTGCACAGTGTACACACAGCGGGGGAAGCACACAACTGTCAAGACGTGAAAAACTCTACTGATTAAGATGTGCAGAGCAAACATTGCACTCTGTTGCCCACCTATGGTACAGTTTGTAGTGATTTTCCTTCTCTTTGGATTGTGTCGTAATAATTCTAGCTCCCTCTTGGTCGGCTCCCATGTTGTGTATTTCTCACCGATGCCTGTGGATACAAAAACAAACTGCAGTGAGATACACAACAAAATGATTTAAAAAGCTGCAATAATTTCTCAGCCATAGAGCAGACAAATATACCTTGCAGTTTCCAGGCTTTCCTCTGTTCCTCTTTGGCAATCTGTTCCATGTCTTTGTCGTATATGTAATCTTGACACACAAAACAATATATCCCACCGTATAATAAGTCTATAGCTGGAAGGAAGAGGAGACAGGAAGTATGAGAGATTACATGTTTTATTTCAAATAGATTTTGCAGCACAATAGAGCAGATCGAGTTTATTTGAAGAGCACTGGCTCATTCGTGACCATGGAATCGCACGCTCTAGTCTGAGCAATTATAAGAGATATGGCAGGAGCGGTGATGGTATGGGTTTATTTGTTTCGCCACTCCCACCTGTGCTTTGCACTAACACATATACTACAATCTTCCATCCTCAAAGTCCACAGCAACAATACCTCAGCTCTGTTGCCGTGACAACCTATTTTTAGTTTAACTGGACGCATTTCTGTTTTTTGGCGCTACCCACACTCAAAGTGAGCATCAGCATCATGTAGAAACCTGGTAACAGTATCGCATTGGAGTTTTATTGTCTTTTTTATTTAGTTCTGTATATGTCCAAAGTTTAAAACAGGAATAACGCCTGAATAGATGGGCAGCGTCCGTTAAGACAAGAATTAATTGGCTAAAAGAGCTTCACAAAACATGGAGAGAAACTAGTCAGCTGTTGTTCAACTGAGTGAAGGACAAGAACTGAAAGTGACAAGAAAAGGAACATCAAGGGGGAAAATATCAAAAAGACAAGCAGAAAAGGAGGTAAAAAACTAAAAGAAACGAGGATCTAATGAGATCTAAGAGTAAAGACATTTAGAAAAAAACAAACAAACATAAAAAGAGCCCTGAGAAGGAAGCTTGCAATCTTGTAGTCCTGCAAACAAGGAAGTTTGGATTAATTTGATTAGAGGCAGAGACGAGCAGAGTGCCAATGTCACAGTGGCTCTCGTGTAAAGCTCAAATCTCATTAACACTACAGCCCTGCACCTGGACTGTGTGTGTGTAACCTAACTGTTGCAGTGCAGTAAATCAATTAATTCCATTAAGATAACTAGAAAAGCCACATACTGTCTCCACATATTCTCGTTAGGGTAACATCCAACTCTTACATATTAGTGTCTTTTAAAGCATAATTAACATGTAAAAATGAGACTGGGTTTTAAATTGCAGTGGGTTAGTTAGTGCTACCTCTGCTTTGCCGCCACATAAAGGTTGCTGTAGCAGCCTAAACACATTGAATGACTTTGAATGTCCCCACTGGAACAGTAATATGCTGCAGTGGGAGTAAAGTTTGACTCCCTGACTGCCTACAGGAAGTAAAATGATGCCGTTAGTTAAACTTTAAGTTATTAGTCATTGTTCAGACCTGGCACTAACATTCAACCTGACTGCTCTGAACACAATTGGATACTAAATACAGATGTGAACGCTCTCAAAATAGACTTAAGCCACTTTCTACAGTGGTTTTTCCTGTTTAATTTAGATGGTTTCCTTTACTTCTCTCTCACCATCTGTCTTGTGTCTAAAGTCCAAATGATTTATAAACCTGAAAATACCAACCCATGCTCTGGAAGCCTTTTGAATGACAGGTGAAACGTTTAAGAAACAAGAAAACCAATTCAGTTGCTTTTTCTCCCCTTGTTTAAATATTAACATGTTCTGGATGAATAAGAATCTACACCAATATACATTATATTTTCAAGCAGTGACTTCCAACCTGGACATCAGAGATTAAAAGACTTAATTTATAAAGCTTAAAATTTTTAAACAAGCTAAAGTCACAACCCAAACTAAAGTCTAAGATCTTGATTAAGGTTATGAGGGGTAGAACATTGTCGACAAAGTTCCTTATATAGCCAGTATTTCAGCTTAAAAAAAGATATATAAAAAAGGTAAATCATAACATATTTTATCTAACTCATCACAATGGAATAATTTTGACCCCACTTTTGCATGCAGCTAAATGTCGATATGTTCAAGCTACCTGGGATAACTGTCAGACCATTAAAATGCAGATATGTAATGTAATGAATCTGACAGTTCTTTAACAGCCACTGTTTGATGACTGAAGGGTAGAGGCAGCACCAGAACCATGAAGACAAAATCTATATTTCAATGTAAAAAAGAAAAAAATTGTATAGGTCTTCTGGAGTCTCTTCTCCAAGAGACTTCTTCAGTCTCTTGAGTATCGTCACATGGGGGCAGGGCTTAAAAGCCTGAATTTTGCCTGAAACTCTCAGACTGAAGAAGTCTCTAGGAGAAGAGACAAAACGTTTCATTAGAGAAGAACCCGTCCAGAAGACCTATACAATTTTTTTCTTTTTGATTTTTTACCTGGATTACTGAGATGCATCAGGATATATTTCAATGTAGAGGGAAACGTGGATTGTGTCATGGCACTAGTTCACATTTCTTAAGTAATTAGCATTATTTTGGGAGAAGACGGCATGATGTTTTTGTTTTGTTTTTAAATAGTTGAAGCAAGGTGTTGAATTATGGTTTTCTTCTGTTTAGCTGAATAACACTCAAATAAATCTCATTTTAGCAGATGTATAGAAGGAATTGAGAAGATTACCAGCATGTCTTTGACATTATATATAGGAAGACACATAACACCATAATTTGTCACTGATAAGCACTCACACTTCATTGAGACACAAATAAACATGAATGTGAAGAGAATTACTGAAAGTGAGACTTTGCAAAATGAGGAAATAAATTAATAGGACTGTTTGTCATGTTGACCTTCATAACATCCCTTTGACCAGAACTAGAGTAAAGCCACACTGAAACAAAAAGTAGCTTACCTAGATTGTGTCTTTTGTTTTTTGCGTGTTCGTGGATGTGTTTCTTTGTAAAACAGCCAAAAAAGACACAGTAAAGACAAGAGTGGAGTCGGTTCAGGTGGGCGCCACACATGTGACAGATGCACGACTTGGCCTGTAAAAAAACAAAAAAGAAAGAACAAGGGAAGGACGGGGGAAGATTGGGGGAGGACAAAGGAGAAAAGAAAGTGAGAGCATAGAAGGAGAAGATGGCACCCTTTGGATGAGTGGTGTGCATACAGAGTGGAACTCTCTGCCAGCTGAAACAGATTTCTATCTTCCAGTCACTCACATAAACACTTCAGAGAACACATTGCTTGAATAAACCTGATATGAAAGCAGACTGATGATTGCTCGGCCTGTTGACAAATCTAACAGAAGAAAACCAACATATTTCCACGCAGAATTTTTCACCCTCTAACATACTGGCAATGATGGGATTTAATGCTTGGCAAGCACACTGGAAGATGCTGGCAAAATCTGTCAAAAGCACAAACCACATCAGCAGTAGCAGTGTGTAAGATTGCTTTGACTTCTCTTTGGGAGTAATCTGAGAAATTGTGCATTAGAATGCATGACACCACTGGCAAATCTGCACAAAGACAATCTGTGTTCTTATGAACAATTCCAAATAAATGGTAACACTGGTAAAAATGGCACACCCCTATACAGCACCGCTTTTAACCCCACCCAGGTTCTGTAAGGCGCTTTCAGTGTTTCTTATTCATCCATTCACACTTTTCTATTCTCACTCATATCAATAAACATAAACATAAACATATCGAGGGCAGGGAAGAGTTCAGTGTCTTGCCCAAGGACACTTTGTCACGCCAGGGATCAAACCCCCAGTCCTGGAAGAAGAAAGGTCTGCCAACTGTGGATGAAAATGTATCTTTTATGTTACTGATTCAAAAAATATTTCATGGCTGCAGTACATCATCCACACAACAAATACACTGCAGATGTCACGCAGTCCCCAATGCTTTATAAACATTAGTAGCTCTTTTTCTACATATACATACATTATATATA